CGCGACAAGCCTACGAATTTTAGGGCTGAAATGAGACAAGCGCATTTGAATCTTTCCATGCGTTGTATGCTCAATGCAACGCCTTCAAGGGTCTTGACGGTGCTGTGAATCATTCTGTCGTTTATTCCCATGCCCATCAGGCCGAAGTCGTGCAGCTGCAGTTGCAGTTCTTCAGTACTATAAAATGCAGCTGTTTTCACTTTAACCGTGCCAGCTGGAGGGATTCGGGTCAAGGCGTGGAAAACCCCATCACTAACATAGGCATGGCTATGGAAGAACAGCGAAAAGAACGTTACACATATGCGCGCTATGACCTTAGTACAAACAAAGGAGAAAACAGACGTAAACGGCAAACGACTGCATTGCTACGAAATCACAAACGCTGTCCCTTCAACCAACTGGCAGCAGTTCGGCATCAGATACCATCACCTATCTGCACATCATCCAAGCTGCCTGCCCTCATACTCTTCCCTCATCCACTTCGAGTAACGAGACAGACTCAGCTTCAGCATACCATAGTGGCCATTGAAATAACACGAATTGTGTTAGGGATTGGCGGCTAGAAATGCCTTGCAGAGATGAAAAATAAATGTGTAAAAACGTTAGTTTCGAAACTTTTTTGAAAATATTGGGTGGTATGTCTGATGCAGGCAGAGCAGACCAGACGTCTTTCTCCTGGGTGCGTGTCTTTTCATAGCACGTAGTACAGAGCTTGCATACTTAAACATGGTTGGCCCTCAAAGCCCGCCTTGCTCTATACGACACAAATGTAAGCGCTAATAGGGTTGCCAGTACCCATGACCCTAAACCGATCCAAGCCGTTGCCAGGTCTGGTATTATCCCAGAATCTGGGTGAACTTAAGTTGTGGACTGAAGAAATAAATGCATGTAAAAAGTCTCATTTCGTTTAATAACCTTTTCTGAACATCACAAAAGGGTTTTAGCTATTGAATGCGAGTGAGATTGCATGGCAGTAATCAGGTCCTCGTCAGTGTCTAGTACCTACTAAAACTTCTTAAAAACATTTCAAAGATTCTGAAAACTTACAGAGCATTAATGCATCGTAAAATGGCTAGCGTGTTCATTAGAATTGAGAGTCAAACGTCGCAAATGTATCAGTATCAGGTCTTCGGCGTGGCCCTTTCGCGCTACTGGAGACCGAGTGAGACAGCAAACGAAGCAAAGGCTATTGTGCATTATACAACAAGGTATACATGCAAACTGCATTGTAAACCTGTGTCTACACGATAACAAGGCCACTATAAAAAGAGGTCGACTTGACGAAAAAGTTGTGGCGCCTCGTAAGACCTGTAAAACACACAACACAGCCCCGTGCCAAACTGACATACACTTGCGACATTGCGTGAGGCGTACTTTATGGCGGGTACCGATTATGTAGTGGTTAACACGTCTGCGTTAACCGCTACACATCTGAGAAACCAAAGGTACGGAGTGCGATTCCCCGCGGTGCCCGCCCCCCCCCCCCCCCCCCTGCGGTGCCGGCGACAGGCAAGCGACGCCTTATATCCCCGGCGCCTGAGTGCGTCGTATAGCTCCAATGACGTGTATTTTATGACGAGATTAGGCGATGAGTTTTCTGCCTTTGGACTCCCGCCCTCTCTCGTAAAGAAGTTTCCTCTGGTTATTGGTTTGCAAGGGCTTGAGATCTACATTAACTTAATAGATGAAACATAAATTGCGCGCCGACACCCCAGCACAGGTTTTTGTAGCGTGAGTAGATCTGGAGACAGCTCATAAGTTTGCCACGCGAAATGTCATTGTCACTGCAAATGTGGAAACAAAATTGCAGCACAAAGAACGGCACAAGAAAAGAACAGAACAGTGCTATTCAAAGCTGGGCTAGGCGCACTGCAATTATGTGCCTGTAACATAGGGATGTCTGGGCATGCTAGAACATCAAGTCTGCATGATATGTTCAATGATAGTATGCTTACATCGAACCGAGGCGCATATACAGTTGATATCTTTATTATACACCGCGTGCGGTATGAAATCTGCTAAGCAATGCCTGGCACAACTTGACAAAGGGTAGGAATTCCTGCACTTTCAGTCTCTGTCGCAATAACCGTGCCCAAAACATCTGGATTACGTACACACGGTCGGAAACGTGACTGATGACTGATGATTTCCCCAGGTGCACTCGGAAACAATACCAATGAGTACAATACATCACAAGCGCATAGTTTTGGGCTTGCAATGACAGCCTCATTACTAAAGTTGAAACATTAATGTTCTCTTTTGTTATTGCTCAATAGCCCAGTAACGCTGACGGCGTCGAAAAAGTTCGTCCGTGGAGTGTTTTTGGAGACAAATGCACCACTCTGACGCCTGAAAGGCGCTGCAAACACCGTCTAATTCGGATTTTGTTTCAATATAAAATATGCGAATGAGTTAAGTTTGCATTTAACAAATAAAGCCAATCGATTTGCCAGTAGCCATTCGTGGTCTTCGGAAAAAATTCTGGACTGGTAACCCTGGGAGTGTCGGCCCGATGCATCGTCTGGCCAATATGACATGAAAAGGTCAGCTGGCAGCTGGCCAAAAAGTGCCAACCAGACCCAGGGTCGTCGTGCCGTAGCTCACTGTACAGCACACAAACACCTCCGCAGTCCTGTCCCAGACCGCAGATATAGCTAATGTAGTTGTTGGCGCACTCCATGAAAAGTTCTATGTAGCAAAAAGGTCGGGGTAAAATTGTCCGCATTGGGTTCAAGTTATACGCAACAAGGTCTATTAAGCAAGTGCTCTGAACACTTCGCCACTGGTGCAAACACTGCACAAAACAGCATATTTAAAAAATAATGAATATGGTAGTTCAATAGTTTTATTCACAACAACTTTTGCACGGAATATCGAAAAACATTCAAAACAGATATCAAGAGTGCTTCAGATTTACATTCGGAAAAGCTCAAGGCTAAAATAATAACATGAATAAATCAGGACGCATTGTGACCATTGGACCACTCGGCTGCGATCACAAGCAATGTCACTTCGCGCACACAGCGTTGGCATTGCCGAAGCTACAGGAATACAGCATTCGTGTCGTCAACAACGATCGAAGGGTCTCGTCAGGGCGGACGATTCTCCCACTACGACTACATCAGCAGCGTAATTAATCACCAAAAGAAGTAACAGCTCTTTTGATTTTGAGGTTGAGGTCCGCTCCGGGCCGCAGTGGTCGGGCTACCAGACGACAAGGCAACGCACCAGCGGCAGGGCGGCGCCGTCCTCTCTCCCCACCGAGACGGCACCCGCCGACCACCGCGAGCCTTCCTCGGAGGACGGAACTCCTCCGGTCGGAGGACGGCCCGCCGGCTGCGGTGCCGGCCGGTGCCCGTCCGCTCTCACCGATGCTCGGATAGCCCGCGCCGCCGCCGCCGGATTCCCAGAATCTCCTGCCGCCGCGGCCAATAAGCCGCTCGCCAGGCAGGCTGCGGCGCATGGCAAGCCCAGTAGCGGATGGCTTGTACTTTAATGGTGGAAATAAGCTTACGGAGTAAGCGACTTGCACTTACACATCACATGTGTGTATTTCTAGTGAAGGCACAAAGCCTGTCTCATATTTGTTTCAACAATGTTTGCCTGTATGATAAAAAACCCGCTCGTTTCGGAGGAAACTAGTCCTTATATATATTTTTGCATATTGTGCATTCTTACCACTTGGGTTTATTATTGGTGCCCCTTCCGATCTTGTTATCGTATCAAGTTAAAAGACAAAGTGCAAAAAAATGAGAACGAATTTTCTTATTCTGTCAGCACTCATACGTGATCACATGATAGCATAACTGACGTCATTAACACCATCTGAAATTATATTCACAACGCTGTCTCATCATCAGATACTTTATATGCATATTTTAACGAGCCAGTGCATCAGCTCATCTTTCAGCTCCGTTAGAAACGATTCCAAGACTGAATCATATCTGCTTGGGTTGGAATCAGGGTATGCCCCGTATTGTGGTGTGCCGCTTGGTCTTGGGTTTCAATCAGCCCAAATGCGCTGGCAGTTGGAAATCGATCCCATTATTGGAGCGAAATCACAAGACAAGTGATGACCGATAAATCCGATTGAAGAAATCTGCATAATTCACTAGTTAAAATGGTATATCTGATCATCATGATCTCGTGTGGATGTATTACATACAACTAGTTTCGCATTCCAAACTGGACACGAATGACCTAGATATACACGTGTGTGATGTAAATTTTGACCTCAATGGTGACACTTTCCCTTTGACGCCTTTAACATCTCAGGGACTAGTGATCACAGGCACCATTCCGTCTCAATCGCAATTGGTTAGGACGAAGGCTAGACAACATGAGATCGGCGTGATTATGCTGCGTTATCGACCTTCAGTACACCAGGAGGTACTGGAAAAATGTCATAGAGCAAACATTGGTTATGCCGTCAATACACGACGCTTCAAGTTGTGCTTATGATCACGGGTGAACCATAAACCGAATTGTTATCAGAAGCACAGCTTGAATCGTCGTGCACGATTATTATGATAATGTCAATATTACCGATTTTTGCTCGCCGATTATTGTCAAGATACCAAAATCAAACTCACAATGCCGAGAGACGAGAAGCTCATGGCCCTGCTCGCCTATATCACGTATCTCCTTGCCCGCGTACCGCTTCTTTCGAAATTCTCTGATTTATCGAGGGAGGGAGAGCGTCTCATGTGCACTCAGCTGCACCACGACCCCCGGCGCTGATATAAACCCCGTAGTGGTCAACATACCTCAAAGACTCCGCTAAAAGTGTACCGTTTTCCCTATCCCTGTCCCTCCTCCTACCCTATCATATATATATATATATATATATATATATATATATATATATATATATATATATCACATATCAGCATCCCTCGGCTGTCGCTGCCGGCGGCGAGGCTCTCGCTTCGGCTGCCGACCGCTCTCGTCCTCCGGCCATCCGCCGCACACGACGGGCCGGGAGCCGCGACGGTACTCACGCTGGGAATGGTGTCGTTGGAGCACACGCCTTCGGACAGCAGCCGGTCCCGGATCTCCCACGCGAAGATGCTCGGGCACTCGCGCTTGTAGTCGGCCACCTTGTTCACCACCAGCGGCGTCGCCACGCGGGGCTTGGAGCCGCCGATGGCGCGCGGCTTGATGGAGCCCGTCTCGTAGTACCTGGGGGAGACGGCGTCGAGGTCAAGCCACAGCTGGCCGCTAACGGGGGGAGGGGGTGGGCGACCCGCGCCACCTAATGGCGCGGGTCAGCTGGGCCCGGCAGGGGCGCACCTGTGATCGACTGGTCGCACGCATGCCGTGTAGTATTCTGGGGTGAACGACCGATCGACTGTAGGCACGCTCGGATGATCGACGTTTTGGTCTTATCGGATAGCATCCCACGGATCTGGGCTACTGTAGATGATTGCGTGGACAAGGTGTCTCCGAAGCATACGGAGACGCTATGTCGCCTCTCGCGTGCTCCTCGCGCGACTCTCCAGCTGCCAGTCGCCTGACCCAGGTCGCCCGAGCTGCGATCTCCGCCACACGGTGCGTCTGTAACGGGCCAAAGATCCTAATCGACGCTGCACAGCGAACGACGGCCGACCGACAGGTCTGGCGGCTGCACTGACGGAGCGCCACGCCCCGCTGCGTTGGTTGGCGAACCGCACTCCGACTCCGTGGCCGGAGTCACAGAGTCACAGAGTCACAGAGTCACGGGTGAGGACCTTAGCGCCCAGCGCCGTCCAGAACGCCATGCTCTGCGCTCAGCCTTCGGCTCAGGGCGTGACCCATGGCAGGTGGCCTCGCAAGCCGTCGCTGCCTCGTCCGAGGGCTTCGCGGCTGAAGGCTCGCCTCCGTGACCGTCTCGTCCGCTGGCTCCCGACACGGCCGCGTCACTGTGCGCGTGCACAAAGAGACCGACCAAGGTCGCAGGAAGAGCGCGTCCGCAGGCAAACAATCAACAATGCCCAGCCCGCCTCCGGCCGGAAAATCGCGATGCTGAAGGCATGCGCGGAGGGGGGGGGGGAGGGGGAGCGGGCTGGGTAGGAGGAACTGGGAGCCCTCCGCTGCGGTGCCCGGCGGCGCGGACACACGTCTTCACAGAGGCACAGTGGAGAGGCTGGGCTAAATGGAGGGGAAGGTGCTAGCAGCGCTGAAGAGGGTGCCAGCAGCACTAGAGAGGGTGTAAGCAGCACTGAGGGGGGTGTCAGCAGTACTGGAGAGGGTGTGGATGCAAGTGGTGTCACTGGGGCATTATGGCGCGCTTAGCTGCTGGGGCCACATGGCGTCGCCTGCGTCTCACCCTGGCGGGAAGGGCGGGCACCGCGGGGAGTCTGGAGGAGGTGTCAGCAGCACTGGACAGGGTGTCAGCAGCACTGGACAGGGTGTCAGCAGCACTGTAGAGGGTATCATCAGGACTGGACAGGGTGTCAGCAGCACCGGACAGGGTGTCATCAGGACTGGGGAGGGGTCACCTTAGCTCCACTGGTTGCAAGAAGAGTTGAAGCGTTAAGGATGATGCAGCCTCACTTGCGAAACCTTTCTGCTGCTATAGATCTTCAAAGGTACTTATTGTCACTCTACCCACCCAATACCCAGTCATGGTTACTTTGCCCGCGACCTCCGTGATTATTTCTGTCACCCGTTGATGAATCCATTGGAAACCGGAGACATATCTCCAAGTTTATTGGGCGACATTTTGCTCCAGGCTTCAGAATTGCTCACTTCAGAACATACCAGCTCTGGAAACAGCTGACCTGCTTTATTTGCCTGCGTCACAACGTCCACATGGCTGTTCCGATTACTGTTCAATTTCATAGATTCTTCTCGACTTCGATCCGACTGTTACCCGCGCTAGCCACGAATAGCGGGACGGTGGTGGGGGTTGGGTGGGGGATGGAGGGCTGGTAAGTGCGCGGCACCGCGGCATCGCACCCACTGTAATCTGGACGAGTGGGCACCATATTAAAGTGCCCCTTTAGATGCGCAGCAGCTGTTGACGTGAAATTCGTCAAGCGGAATAGTGCTCCCGACCTATTAAGTCTCGAAGATAGAAAATAAAAGCAGGTGAAGAGAGGGGAAACAGGCGACGAAACCACACGAGTGGGGAGAATTTGCGAAAGCTCTAATGTGCGCAGTAGCTTATCGTCCGCTTGTTAAACGACTCCAGGTGTGTGATGAGCGGCAGACCTTAGACGGTGTGTGATGACCGGCAGACCATAGGTAGAATATAGCTTACGCTTTGCCACGGAACTCCAGTCGTCAAAAGAAAATCACCAGGTACTCCCAAGTGGTTTGGAACACTAACGGCGCAGAAGTTCAGCAGGCCAGCTGAATGGTTAGGACGCTCCGACGGTGGTCAAGCGGCACCCAAAGCAGTTCTGGTGCCGATATTCACCAACAAAGGCCGGGGTCCGGACCTCTGATTCCCTCTGACAATGAGAACCTTTAAACCAGTGTAAGATCACTGGTAGTTTCGTCAAATGGATACTGGTCATGAATCCATAAGACGACGAGGGCAAACAATGACGAACAGATCCAGCACTAACCTAGCCAGCCTTCGGGCCTCTGTCGTCAAAAGACTCTTTCAATGCAAAGATTAAGCGGAAGCGGATTGATTATGCATATTGAGGCTATAAAGATCGCAATATGCACTGCAGCCCTGCAACGGCAAGAGAACCCAGGGCGGGGCACCATCAGTGACTTCGAGGCAGCTGATGTACCCGCGATTAAGATATGCAGGAAGCCGCCGAGAAAAACACAGGTGGCGCTGAGATCAAGGAGTCTGAATGGCCGCGAGGGCCCGAGATGGTAGGTGATGCACAAGGAGGTAAACCGCACTCTAGGGTAAAGGGTGTCACCCGCACCAAGCAGGCCAGGCAAAGTCCCGTCCCTACCGTCCAACTGGAAACCACGGGTTATTCTGGGTAAGGTATGTGACTTTGAGCGTCCTAGACTGCCACCGCCAAAAGGACTTCCTGGTGTCAGCAATATTTCAGGTCTGGAGCGGCTACTGGCCGGTTTTCTAAGACACGGTCTTCAGGATAGGAAGTCACATTGATACAATGCATTCGCTCCGTTTTTTTCACAACATAGAACTAAGACCGCTTTCTTTAGACCGCTGCAAACTGCATTGCAGCATGAGAGTGTGCACTGTGAAATAGCTAAACACGGTTTATAACGAAATAAAAGACCCGCAGAGAAAAAAACGCATGTTTTTGAAGCTTAATGTGTCATGTAATGCATTACAAAGCCAACAGAAAATCGCGTGACGGTCATGCGACATTATTCACGGTGTACACTGAACGGATATACGAAGAGGAAAAGATCCTCCCGACTTGTCATTCTCATTAGCATATGATGATTGTTACGTAAATCTTACGATGCGACTTTACTCAATGCGGCCTAGGGACTGAAATGCAAACCATGATGACAGCATGAGGAGCAGCTCTGCCGACTCGCTTCGTGGCACAATAGGATAGTCCTGAGCGCATAATCTGCCATCTTTGACGTCAGAGATTGCCTTCCGGCAATAAGTGCATAGCACCATAACCAACGAGCTTTACTTTCGATGATGAGCATTTGGTCGACTTAACCCTAGCAAGACGAGGAGACCCTGACGTGTACTTTGTCAAAACTGAAGCTGTGCTGATTATGATGCAGCTCTCCGTGAGCCTGCTTGAAGTTGCAGTACTTTGGTTTAAATGCTGTTTGAACACGTTACGTTAAAATCTCAACAAAAAACATCCCTCCGTGAATGCAGATCAAACGTCTATATCAAATTTATACCAGTTTCGATAGCCGCTTGAACGTCATAAATGTTTGTCTGTCGGGAGGCATGTATTTGAGGTCGGTCTTGTATTGAATATTACCCACCTGACTAAATTAATGATGACGATATTCTGTGGAACATAACTGAGTGGGTCGTGCCTCTAAGCCGAATGCGATCAAATGCGTCCGATGAATTCCTCGCTGCAGGACGTCGATTGACCTTTGTGACCTGGTTGGTATCGTCACAGGTCATAGGAACAGATGTTTAACAGTTGACAAAACGTGTTTGTTTGCGTCCTACTCGGAGGCAAAAGGGATGTACACGGACCTATGCAGAGATAAGCTTTAAGTCCTATAGCCCGATTTAACGAGCCACAAGTTATACCAACTTGTATTCTGTGTTCATACTTAAGCATGTGGTGCAATAAGCGGCAATGAAATCTCCTTGAAGTTTGAAGGGGGAGGGAGAGAACGAAAGTCATCTCTGATTATCTTTATTTGGTCAACGCCTAAAGGGCAACATTTTAAGCAGCGCCACCGACGGCTGCCTCAACGCTGCCTACAAAACACGGTTCTCGGGGCAAGAGCGACTGAAGTACGTTTCTTGGACTCTGGGGACATCACGTAACATGTCAAACGTGACTCACGTCGGTACTGAATGACACTCATCAGTCCGATGCGGTGTCACAAGGCCTACGCCGTGCTGCACTCCGTTTGCCTCTAGTATGCTTGGTTTTCGAGGCGACAGTGACGGATGACTGCCTGACCTCGGGCAAAAGGTGTACTTTATGCAAACCTGGGAGGGGGGGGGGGGGGGCACCGGCGCAATAATACTCCCGCTGGCCCGCCTACTTAAAGCTGTCCCACCGTCGCTGGTGGGACATCCAAACCGGGACTTCCCATTCCGAAGGCCTTAACAAGCCGCGCATCAGCCGGCAGCGCCCAGGACGTCCGCGATCTGCCGGCTCGTGAACACCGATACTGGCTGTAGCGCCACGCGTGGTGAAGAGGGTGTTTCCCCCGCTCGAGAGCGTGTCTGTTGTGTCGCGCGCGCTGAAGAGGGTGTCTGTTCGGCAGCGCTCAGAGCGGCGGCGATAAGTGGTGGTTCCGTTACTGCAGCTGCCCCGAGCGCCGCCGCTCCCACCCCGCCACGGCAGCCAGTTATAATTGCTGAAAGCGAAGCCGCAATTAGTCAACGGGGTGCCGGCGGCCGCCGAGCGGGCTGGGCACCTCGTTCCCGCCGGCGCGGCTGGGGCCGATTGTGACCCGGGGGCTGACGGCACCCCCCGGGCCGGCGACGAACGGGAGCCGGCGCCCCCCGCCGGCCGGCGCCGAGACGGCAAGAACCCGCCGCCGCCGCCGCCGCGCGCCTCAATGCGGCGCGGCCGCACGGGGCTGGGAAGGCGGCGCGGTTTGTTCCCGAAACGGGGAGACTTGAACGGACACTCATTAGTGCAGAAACGCTAACAGGAAGCTCGGTCTGCGTAAAATCGCCTTCACGCTCAAACGAGTCCGCAGCAGCTGCCAGCTACGCAGGTGTTTCACGAGCGGGGCTAAGGCGCCAGCTTGCAGCTTCCATTAGGCTTTTTATCTGTAAGCCTGGGGATGCTGGCTTAGTGGAGCTGCAGCATCCGGAATTTTTCCCGGAAAATCAAGGCCTACCGTGTGCATATTGTCTTCGTGCCCCAGCTAGTCATATCCTATTGGCTGATTGGATCTAATTCCCCAGATCAGATCTGGAACCACCGGCCGGAAACATTTGCATGCACCGCGGAATGGTGAATGGCCTTCGTGGCGTCCCGATTCATGCGTTTTAGGCCATTGTGCTAAAGGAGATGTTCTGGAATAGAATCACGACCGCAGTGAGCACTGGGTACGTTTTTCGCCGGAAGAGCTTCACCCCAAAAGGGAGGCAATCAATGGACAGATGCCTTGCGACTGATTGACACCGCCAAGTTCAGGTTCCGCGAGTCACACGTCCCGCGGCGGCAGCCCGTGCGTGCCGCGGGTGCTGACCGCGGGTGACCTGGGGGTGTGGTCAGCGCGGCTGCGGCGAGCGAGGAGGCGCTCGCGCTCAGCGATGTGCGGCAGCTGGTGGCTCCGACCGACGCTTCCGCCGACGCCAGCGGTCGGCAGACTGATTGCGCGCGCGCGCGCGCGCGTGTGTGTGTGTGTGTATGTGTGTCGTTGGTACCCCTACACCACCGGCACCCACCGGCAGGCCGGCTGGTCCGCGGCTTCCTACCTGCCCAGGATCTTGGAGACGCAGCCATTGGAGACCTGCAGGATGCGCGAGATGTCACACGGCCGCGCGCCCGAGTGCGCCAGCTCGACGATCTTCTGTCGGGTCGAGTCGGGCAGGGGGCGGCCGTTGACGTACACCCCTCCCAGCTGGTTGACCCCGCTGTGACCTGACATGACACGGGACACAGAGGTCAGCGGCTGCTCCTCTGTCGATCAGACAGACACGGGCGTTAGAGGGCGGTCGTGGTGTCGGTCGGGTGACAAGCAGGCGAGAGCGAACGGCACACCCGGCGAGGGGGAGGGGGGGGGGGAGGGACGAGCCAGAGGGCGGAGATGTCATCACTGGTCCCATCAACCAGACCTCGACAGCAGTCAGCAGATGGTGGCATTGACATAAATGGCCACGTGTCTTCACACGATAACGCCACTCACATGGTGTGTTTGAACTTTGTAATCTCCGGCAAAAACGACTTTATGCATAATTCAACGACGCCCGTACACAAACTGGACTGAGCATGCGGTGCCCTATGTGATTGGATGCTCTTAGCCTTAAGTCGGCTCAAGATGGCCAATTTTGGCAGCCGTTTCCTGCAGCGTGCTTGACGGAGCATAAAACCACGAAAGCCGCGTGGCACAGGGTCCAGCCATTCTCACCTTTGTGTGGCATGGGATTCAAGCTGGCTGGAGAGGAGGCGGCAGGTCCCTGCAACAAAGATAGATCGTCGGTCACCAGCCATCGGGAGCACCGTCAGCCGTGGTCATCAGCTGTATGGTAAGTGTGCCGTGCAATGTGTTTGGGAGATCGAAAACCGGTCACTGCAGCTAAATGCAGCTTTACGTTTGGACTATCGCGGACGGGATAATCTCTCATGTAAGTAAACCAGCTGCATTCTGCGCTCGATTCGACGCGGCGCAAAATCAATCTCAAGTAGCGGGTGCGAAGGATTTGTTTCCTTTATTGCAAATGCGAAGTAAAATTGGGAAGGATGATTATGCACCGTTCACGAGCCTTTCATTTCTTCGGAACAACTGCGCCTTCCCAGGCCAAAAATGTTCTTTGCCACGTTAATCGCTGGCGCAGAATGACTTGCAGAAGGCGCAGAATGGTCTACGTGTTTGAATTGCTGAGAAAAGACCATGGAACTGAATTACTCTTCAACGTCAAGCATTTAGAAAAGACCCATGTCGGCCATTGAAGGCTTTGCACAGCTATAAATAGAAAATGAAGATTTTGTACGACCCCAAAGGCCCTGCCTAGCAAAAAGAAGCAGCCAAAAGAAAACCATCACCCATCGAGTGTCGTTTCATGTGCGTTATGTTTAAGGAACTTTTGAGGCCTCCAAAAGGGTCCGTTCAGGAAGGGGCTCAGCAGTCGTCGATTTCAAGCAGAAACAGCCATTGGGGGTGTGGCTCCGCCATTGCCATTAGCGCGGCAGGCACGAAACGGCCTCGATTCGGCCAATGGATTGACCATGACGCAGCTGGGTGCCTGGCAACCACCCGAATGCAGCGGGTGAACCTCCGCCATGCAGGATGCATAAATAAGCCGGAATTATCTCCCCTCTCTGCTCTAACCCTTTCCCCACCTCTCTCCCGTCCTGCCCCGCCCTTCCTTTTCCCCCGTCCCCGTCCCGCTCTCGTTTCCTTTCGTGCCGCGTGCTTCTCCGGCCGCCGTCGTCTGGTGCCGTGATTGGTTCGTGCGCTTCCTTGTCAAGGGCGCGCCAGTCAGACACCCCGGCTAATCATGGGGCCATCATCGTAAAACAAGTTCTGCCCGGCGCGCCGATAATGTGGGATGATCACATGTCAGGACCACCGCGATCAAAGAGCCGGTCGCTTGTCGGGGCTGCGCCCGGCCGAGTTAGCCGACACAGCCACGGCTCACCGGGAATCGAAGCGACAACACTAGATATGACCGAGAATGGCTCTTATTTCGCCGTCCATATGAAGTGCCCCGCAGTGGTTGACCAAAACGGCAAGGGAGTATGCGCAGATGGACCTTTGTGGGTTATAGGGTGTGCATGACAGGACTGTTTAGTAGTTGCTGCCCCAAATATTCTGGCATTTGCACTGATTGGCCTTCCTCCACATGTCTGCCAGCCAAATGAAGCCAAAAGGTAAATGACATCTGCTGAGCCAAGCGATGTTTTTTTTTGCATTTATTGATCACAAAATGAACATGAGATACATTTATTTGCCCCGGCATTAAACGTTCCAATAGAGAATTGATCTCCAGGTGTCATCAAAGTTGGGGATAATGTTCTTTGCCGCCGTGAACGGTAATGAGCTTTGAGCTTAGGTGATATGTTTTAGTTAGCCATATTCCCCCGTATCACTGTGCACCTAGCACCTGCTTGCTGTAACGAGCAGATGCCATAAGGTCCTTACGCCTGCCTGAGTGCCTGAGTGCATGACAAAGCTCGTTTAAGCCCCCTACCTACCGTCTTCTTTTGTGAGCAAGGATAGAATGATAGCCCGAAATAGTGATCCCAGAGGGTCACGCGAAGTGACGCCCGTCATGTCACTGCGTGGCAAACTGGCACTCGCACGTGAGCGTCTTCGCCACCTTAACAGGTGATTCATTGTGTCGTTCATGTTATTCATTCAAGATTCCAGCCGCTGACATTTTCGACGGCATAGTGGTTAAGCTGTGCGTCTGAGATATAGATGTCCGGGGCTCGATTCCCCGCGGTGCCCGCCCTTTCCGACGGGGTGAAAGGCAGGGTCAGCAGCTGAGTGCGCAGACTCGCTAACATGCCGTCGGACATGCCGACGCACCCCGCTCCCCAGACAGGGGGGGGGGGGGGGCGCCGGCTTGCCAAACTCGGCGCACACGTGCGCGCACGTCACTCGGCGCCACCAATGGGGCGGCGCCAAGTCAACGTTCGACCGCCCCCTCCCCGCTCCACCACCGCCCAGCCACCCCCGCTCCACATAAGGGAAGCTATCAAGCGCTTGGAGGCTTCGGAGAGCTCTGGAGACGCGACAGCACGGCGGTGTTATTCGCGCGTCGACCACCGAACCCCGACCGCTCGCCGCTTGACGGCTGCTCAAAGCCGTCCAACGCAGTCACCTTTGTTCCCTTTTCGGCGCGCAACGCGATGTTGGTCATCCACATTTCCGGCTTGACTGATGGTGCCTGTCTTTGGGTCCGGCCCGGCAGGATAAATGACCTTGACCTCCGGATAAAACGGTGCTGGAAACAGACACAAGCAGATGCGATGGCCGAGGTTGAGTTAAGTCTGGCCACCATGCCGTCTCTCAAGCCCGGAAGGACGTCTAAGCAGGTACACAGCGCGCCGGTTTCACGTTGTTCCTTTGCTCCCATTACGCAGCTATGGGAGGCTTTCCCAAGCCGCCGTCGCCGAGCCGGCATTCGCGCCGCTTCCGCGAGGTCGGCGAGGTCAAATATCAAGACAGCCGAGCTAAGCCCCCGGCGGCAGACAGGGAAGGGGGGGGGGGGGCAGACGCCGCCGGCCCGCGTTCTGTTTTGTTTCCAAACAGGCCGGTGGCGCTGCCGCGGCGCCGCTCGCTGTCAGGCGGCGCCTCTGCAGCCGCCGACACCGAACCGGCCCCGGCCACCGGCGTCCGGTCGGCTCCGGCTGAGCCCCGACAAGTGTCGCGCGAGACGGCGCCGCTTTGATCTCGTTAATAAGGCAAATTATGAGAAGTATGACGGCGGCGGCGCGTCTCGGCCGGCGTCCACCACCGGGCACGCGCATTCGGCGGCGGCCGGCGGCGGCGGCTCGATGGCAGCCAGATAGCGGCTTCATTAGCGCTGCGGTGCGCCGCCGCCGCCGCCGCTGAGATGTCCGATACTCGGGGGCTGGCCGGGGAGAGCCGGAGGCAAAGACCAGTCTCGGCCGGACGGCTCTCACTCCGCTGCTCTCTCTCGCTCTCTCTCTCGCTCTATCCCTCTCTCTCTCGCTCTATCTCCGCTCTATCCCTCTCTCTCTCTCTCTCTCTCTCTCTCTCTCTCTCCTCTCTCTCTCTCTCTCTCTCTCTCTCTCTTTCTTTCTCCACTTTTCTTTTCCCCTCCCTCTTCCACCAAGCTCCCGTCCCCTCCCTCGCTCCCTCTCTCTTTCTCTCTCTCCTTTCATCTGTTTCTCCGTCCCTTCCTCGTTCCCTCTCTCTTTCTCTGTCTCTTTTCTTCCGTTTTTCCGTCCCTTCCTCTCTCCCTGTCCCGTTCGCTTTGTTCTTATGCTTTCTTTTTCTTCCGTGGCTGTATCCCTATTTCATTTGTTCCTCCTCCGCCTCTTCCCGTCCCTTCCTCTTTCCCTGTCCCGTTCGCTTCGTTCTTACGTTTTCTTTTTCTTCCGCAGCTGTATCTCTATCCTGTTTGTTCCTCCTCGGTTTCGATCCCTACACACCTTTGCTTGCACTCTCCTCAGCCCAGCTGATTCTGTCGTCACTCACGCCTGCACCCGTGGCGCGGGGCACGCGATCGAGATCAATGCTGGCTCGTCAGATCAACTCACACCATCCTGGACAGCTGTGTTGAAGATTGGCCCTGTTATAATTGCACCAGGTCGAAACCCGTCTTGTGAAGGGACCGCACCGTTGAAGGTTCGCCGTGCGGCGTTGAACAAAGTCCCCTGCACACGTGCTCAATATCAGGTTACGTCGGTCGCATTATCAGTCCAATATCTGCGGATTCAACACGCGACAAGGTCCAAACAGCAATGAAACGACAGCCTAAAAATATTAAGCCCGTGTAATCTTTGCGTTCGTTGATACGGACATGCTCATTATTCAAATGTACAGAGATATTTGTACGGCCGTCATGTTGCGTTGTGTCGCGCCGCCTGACTTTTGTTGCTGATAATCGGTCTGAAGTGGGCCGCCCTAGCCGTCCAGCCGCTGGATTATCTTGCCCGGCCCGTCTCCCGGCGCTGCTCGGTCAGCGGCCGCCGACAAGCGCCGTGGTACCGCCGGCCGCCGCCGCCGCCCAGGCAGCGCTAGTGTCGCCGCCGGCCCGGACTGCGGCTAAGCGCATTATTGCAGGGAGCGTTTTGATGGATCTATGACAGCTGCACGTCAGGATATTTACCTACGAGGCGGTGATGAAAACCGCTTAGCGTTCTGGATGCTGGCGCAGGCATCACTCCATGTATAAGTACATGCATAAGTACACTTAACCCAATGACAGGGCAGGACGGCCGGCTGAGCCACTCATCATGTGCCGAAGCCTCTCCGAGCGTGTGCCGGCCTTCTCCGCAGCACGCTCTGGGCAGACGGACACCGCACGGCCTCACGTCCGGCGCCGCGAGCTTAGGCCTCCACGTGCCGACCGGTGCCGCCACAGCAGCTGACGGCGCGAGGAACGCCTCTCGACAGCACACGCAACCGGGACTGTCAGGCCACCGGGCTGCGCCGGTGCGTCTGCTGTTGGGCGGCCGGTTTGGTCTGGCCTGGGTCTGGTCTGGTTTGGGTCAGGTCTGGGCCGGGTCTGGGCCTAGGCTTGGGCCTGGGCCTGGGTCTGGGTCTGGCTATCGGTCTGGGTCTGGGTCTGGTTCTGATTCTGGTTCAGGTTCTTGTTTTGGGTCTAGTCCTAGTTCTGGGTCTGGGTCTGAATCTGGGTCTGGGTCTGGGCCTGTGTCTGGGTCTGGATCTGGGCCTGAATCTGGGTCTGGGTCTGGGTCTGGGTCGGGCCTGGGCCTGGGCGTGGGTCTAGATCTGGATCTGTATCTGCATATGGGTCTGGGTCTGGGTCTGGTCTGGTCTGGTCTGGTCTGGATTAGGTCAGGTCTGAGTCTGATCCGGTCTGGTCTGTCTAGCCAAAGCCTGGTCTAATCTGGTCTGGGCTAGGTCTGGGTTTGATCTGGTGCAGGTCGGGTCTAGTCGGCCGGCGGGCTGCGTCCCGCCAGGCGGCGTCCGGCCAGCCCAACGCCGACTCGACCACCGCGGCGCATTCCAACACCCCCAGCCGCTGTAGTCGCATCCGCTACAGGCGCCCGACACATTTTTGCGGCCGACTAGTCGGCACCGTCACCGCCTGAGCCGTGTCGCGAAATCCGACACCGTGTTCTCGGCGAGGGCTGTTTAGAGGCGGCGGACTCTGCGGTCAGCAGCGCCGGCCGGTACACCGCCCGGAGTTGTCGCTCGGGGCTGCACGGGACCCAGCGCCTCAGCTGGACGGCGGACGGGTCACACGGGTGGAGGATGCCGCAGCGGCCGCGCATCTCGCTGCGGCTCCCCCCCCCCCCCCCTCCCCTCATCTTTCATCCCCTTTCCGCCAACGCCGAGCGGTCGTCCACCATGAGGTGTGCTTTTGTTTCGTTGATTTTCTGATCATGACTTCGCCATTTCCTCCACATATTTACGCCTGCACCCCCACCCCCCACCCCCACCCCCGCTCCGACGTGCACGCCCTCTTCCGCCGGGTCGTTTTGGCCCCAGCCCCAACCCTCGCGCGGAGGGCGTACCCATGGTGTGAGCTCCCGCCCGTCTTTCCGGATCCCGTAGCCAGGAGCGCACCCAGGGACAGGTGTGCGTGGAACTTCAACTATTGAACGTCGATGCCCCCAATTCAGCCATTGCTACAACTTTTGTGGTGACAATAGGCCTCCTGACCCGCACTCTCCGGCCTATCACCCCGGCCCGGTGGCGCCGCATCTGCCTTGAGCCCTCAGCCCGCGGGCGAACAGCGATAGCCAGAGAGCATAATCGCATTACGCCCGTCTGCGCCCGAAAGGAAAGCAGCGGAGGGAGCGCTGTCTGGCGCGCGGACCGGACGGCCGGGGGAAGGGGCCGAGTCGGGCGCGTGGACAGGCTCCCACCCGCGGGGGTTCCGTCCGCAGGGTCAGGCGGGGAGGGCGACCCCCCCCCCGTAGTTGGGAGATCGTCCGCCCCTTCGCCACGCGTCCCCGCTGTGCACGGCTGCGAACTGTCCCAGTTCGTCCCGCCCCAACGACCTCTCGGCCAGACCTCACGGTGTCAGCACGAACCTCGCCTCGCGCGTGGCCGCCAGCCAGAGTGGCGCCTGGCGCCGGCTCAGCCTGCGGCAGGCAGGCCCACGGCAGGCTGCGGGCTGCCGGCCAGCGAGGCCCGCTCCACCAGTCATTAGCCGGTTATCATCCGTACGTCGGCGCACTGGAGGCGTCCGGACCGACGCTGACAGGCTCACTGTCACGGCAAAGTCGTCCTCGGCACTCCGCTCCCGGTGCTTAGCGGCCGGCGTATTCCCCCGATGCTATCAGAGATTGGGAGTCTCGCCGGGGTATCATGCCACGCTCACGGGCCGCCGGGCCGATACGGCCGCGCGTCACGAGACGGCACGACCGGTCACGCCATCCGACGAGGGCCGAGGGCCGCCGGCCGGCGTCAGCGGTGGCTGGACCACAGGCTCCGCCGCCAGCCGGCGTCAGCGGCGACCGGCCGACGTCAGAGGCGGCTCCGCTAAAGGCGCTGGCACCGATTGACGTCAGCAGCGGCTCCGCCGGAGGTGTCGCCGCCGGCCGGCGTCAGCGGCGGCTCCGCCAGAGGTGCTGCTGCCGACCGACGTCAGCAGCAGCTCCGCCAGAGGTGCTGCCGCCAACCGACGTCAGCGGCGGCTCCGCCAGAGGTGCCGACGCCGACCGACGTCAGCGCTCTCTCGTCGATGTCGTTGCGAGGCCAGTTGCAGACTCCTCATGGGTCCGTTCGCCATTGCAATGGACAACACGTCAGATCAGGGGCGCAGTTTCTCAAAATAAGTTCGGAAGACTGGACAAGGAGTCAATGGCTAAACCTGTCCCCTCATGCAAAAAGTTTCTCTTCGGATTTGACCCTCTTTGCTCTAAAACTCGGACCGAAGCCGACAACTCTCTGGGAAGCCTCACCCTTGTGTCAGATACACAGATCCTTCGAGATCTCGAGACGGTGTTTGCTGGCCAGCGTCAGCAGCGGGTGCAGCGGCGCCCCCTGCCGGGCGGCGAGCATGCAGCGGACCGCATGACATGGTCGATGTGACATGTCGCCAGCTGATTCGAACCGGAGTTTTACGGGCAATCCGCCACGGACTCGGCAACAGCCTCAGGGTCACTGTCAATGTCGCCGGGCACAGCTGCTCACAGGCCCGCCTGGCGGCCGTCACGGCCGGGGCGAGCGGGTCTTGTCGCTTGTCACGCCGCTTGCGAGACGCTTGGCGGGGTCACTGAGGTTGCAGACCACGCCCCTCGTGAGGGGTATCCGGGCCCGAGATTGGCTGCGCCTCGCATGTGTTGAGGCTATGGCCAAACAGCATTTTGAGCCTTGCCCGCGGTTGGCATCTCTCCCAAATGTGGCGTTGAGGTAGGTTGGCCCAAACTTTGTTCACAGTCTTTTTGCACGAAAGGTTCGCTCCCCCATTTAAGCCCATTGTATTAGTGGCTCAATACGCGCAGAAGCGTGGGAGGGGTCTCCAGTTGTCGTGAGAGATTCACATTACCTCTGCAATAATGCACAGAAAGGATTGGCTTGAAGATGGGCTTGCCCGCTCCCAAGCTTTCGCTGAGGTTGTTACGCCTCTGAATGCTTCGCAGGGAAAAAGCATTTCATATTGAGGTAGCTTGTAGTTTTTCACGTTGACGTGCATGTGAATTTAATAAGTCCCATTCAAATTCGCGTACGGTGCCCCGCATGTGGAGTTGACACATTTGCGTCCGGTGATCTAAAAAGAGGCAAACCTTGTTTCGAGAAAAAGTGGTGGGCGGTGACGCAGATGACATATTTTATTCGGTGTTTCTGTGCGGACCCATAACCCGGTGCTACTTTTTGACATGGTCGGGTGCAACGTCATCCCGAATTAGCACACTCATGCTTCTGCGAGCCTCTCCAAAGCATGGCGGCAACTTCGCTATCGAGGGCCTCTCAGCGAGAGGCCGCGACTCGAGCCCGGCTGTGGCAGTCTCGAGCGGCAGGACCGGGCGGCCGCCTCGGCGGCGCCTGAACGCCCGGGTGTGACCGCTTCGTCAAGCAGCCGCCGAGCAGGGTCGAACCCTGCCGTCGGTGGCGACGGCGGCGACGTCACGCCGAGTGAATGACGTCCGCACGGACGTCGGCGACGGTCCGGTCGTCGCCCGCTCGACGAGCGGAGCGAGGGGGCTTCCCACAGACGCCGTGTTAGTTTCCGCTGGACGTCGTCCGCCCAGCGAGCGGGGCCAGGGGACTTCCCACAGACGCCGTGTTAGTCTGCGCTGGACGTCGTCCGCCCGACGAGCGGGGCGACTGGGCTTCCCACAGACGTCGCTGGACGAGGCTCGAGCCAGTCGCAGCGGGCTGGCCCCAGCGGCGCGTGGCTGGAAACAGGTGCCGTACATTGCCCCGGGCGAGCGGGACAAAAACAGCCGCAGCACGCTGCCCAGGTAAGGAGGGTCATCAGACGACCGCAACACTTCGTCGCAGTGGAGTACGGCTTGAGACAGAGGCAGTGCATCGCCCTGTCGGCCTGTGACCTGGACGACCTCAGGAAATTGCTACGGTGGCTGCAGCTCGGGACGCCGGCCCACACAGCCAAATGAGCGTTAATCTCCGTGCGGCGAAATTGTATCACTCCCGCCCCGTCATCCGCGTGCCGACACCGCGCCGCGTGCGAGAGCGCCGCACGCATGGCCGTCAGCCACGCGCCACGCTCCGGACACGGTCATCAATCAGCGCCGTCGGCGAGCCACGGCCGCGCCCGCTGGTCTGGCAGCCCGCGCCGCCGCCGCCGCCGCCGCCGCCGCCGCCCGGCGCCGAGACGGCAGCGCGCCCGCCGCGTCTGCGAACGCCGCGCCGCCGCTAAGCCGTCTCAGCGTGATTCATATGCAAATGCGTGCGTGTGAGCTGGTGTGTGTTGGTTGTCGGACGGACGGCGGCGGCCGGGCGGACGCGGCGCGTGTGCGTGGCCGGCCGGCAGCGGCGGCGGCGGCGGCGGGCGGCGGCGGCAAACCCGGCCCGGCCCGGCCGGCGGCGCGGCGGCCGGCCGCCCCCGCTCATGCCTCAATCAGTGCTGTCCGCGGCGGCATGTGACGCGCACCCCGATGCGGCGCGATACAGGGACGCCCCCCGGCGGCGTCCGATCTGGGGCCGGCGATCGGGTCCCGATAGCCGCGCCGGACGGCTGTCACTCAGCCGGGCCCGCCCGCTCGTTATCGAGGCCCGGGTCAGAGGCGGTCCCGCGCGTCGGCGCTGCGCCGCCCGCCGCACCGCCGCCGCCGCCGCTGCCGCCGCCGCCGACACGGCCCCGATTGCAGGCGATAGCCCGTAAGCGGATTTGTTCTGGCCTCTGTCGGGAAATGTGGGGCGGTTTGGCCGGCCCGGCAGGGGGCAGTTGTACGTCAGGTTATGATTAGGGTGCTGCTGGCGTCCGTTTATGATGGGGGTACCTGTAAGCTGATTCTGCCAGACAAGAGGCGACGTGTAGGCTTGGCCCGTGCTTTGTACAGTGTCTGTGTGAACATTCCAGCTGTCTTGACCACAAGAATGGACGGATGCGGACCCGCTGTGCTCTTGTGCAAGAGGCGGAGGTCAACTCAGAGCTCCAGTATTTTCCCAGTCCTAGGCGCGCAAAGCTTCAGTTCAATATGTCTGTCACAAATGCTGTTATCGGGTACAAAGTCGGGGAAGAGATGCAGCCTCTCGGCTGTCTAGCCCAGTATATCGGCCCTGATGCTGACCCGGCGGCCGCCTGCAGGTCGTGGGTCACGCAGTTCCAGCTTTTGCGGATCGGGATATACGCAAGAAAGGCCTTCAGCTTCTGGCTTTTCGGCTTTATGAGTTCGGAAGTCTTGTGCTGAATTACATACCTTCAATGTATCAGGAAACAATAGCTCAACGACGTCATGGTGTACACACTGGTCATATTGACAGTATGTTGGTGGCATTGCATTTGCTGTCAGTTGGTTACATTGACGGACCAGGGTGCCGTGACCACAATCAATGTTTGCTCTGTGACATCGATCAACTAGTATCTCCTGGTATATTGAAGATCAATAGCTCAGCACAGAACTCTGAACTCACAAGCATTTGAGCGAACGGTTTTGAGAGAAAGCGGCTCGTAGCACATTAAGATGAGGTTACATGCAAATAAGTAAAGAAAACACAGGCATATGCAATATTAACCAAATCCTACATTTTTGGAACACGATTTCTGGTGGAGAACTCTCACTGAGACACCATACTTCAAGAAAGCAGTTAGCCCAAGATGGGCTCAGGTACGTAATATAGAGCATACGTAACATAAATAGATACGCATACGTAATATAGAGCATATGACACCCAAACAGGCGCAGAAGGCGGCACGATGACAATTTAGACCAGCTACATTTGATGTGCAGGCCTAATTATCTTAAACAGAGGCAGTAGCTGTGTATGGCAAGACGCGTTTTTGATGCTTTTTGTTTCGAAAAACGAAATCTTGCCTTAGCTGAGCGTTATAGTCATATCATTGTGGTGCCCTCCAAGTAACAAAAACATATAACCACGCATTCCTAACGGAGATGGCAGACACGATGAGAAAATTTTACAGCGAATAACATTTGATAACCTGTAGCCTTTACAAGAATGGAAAAACTATGGGAAGTTTTGACGTGCTATTGTATGCACACCTGGTATCACGCATCTGCATTTGAACACTACATTAATAAAAACACCCTCAGCAAGGGGGGAGCTGCATCAATATTATATATATTAATATATTGTAGGCCTGTGCCACACGAGTTTACGTTGCATTCCTCCAGACACAGGTTGTGTGAATCGTGATGATGGATTTCATCATACATTGATTCGCTTACCTCAGTCACGAACCACGCCATTTTATTATATTGTTTGGTGCTAGGTCATACTATTTTGGGGCAGTTTCAGAGGAGATTCATGTCTTAAGTGCGAACAAGAGGTGAAATTTGCTTTACATGATTTTTAACGATGAATCTGATCCCGCCACCCACATTATTTCCCAGCTCCCAACCTCGTGGTCGATTTTGTGTTGAAGTTCTAAAATTGAAGTTGAGTTGAACACATACTATGTTTTTTTATCTTGTGTATGTTCGAGTCATTTTTTTATGACTCAGACTGTTGTTCGTAGAGAGCTTTTACTTAATCACTATTACATGGATGCTTGCACTTCACGCACACATTGCAAAATATTCTGTAAAACCACGCCTCATCCAATGAGGAAGCCCAGCAGGCCTGACATCGAATGACCAAGACGCAGTCAAAGCAGCAAGCCTTTCTATGCGGTTGATTGTTTCCGTGCATAGGCACAAGAGCATTGATCAAATATTTGTATTCTGAGGTATAACCTCAGATATACCTACTTTTACTCAAATCGGGGACGCCACCATTTTCGAGGACCCTAAGCCAACTTGAGTGTTCTTTAACAGCAGCACAAAAGGACAGCTTGAGTGTAGGAAGCTGCTAACGTAAACGACGAGCAACGGCGAACATAAGCCCTTGAGCGAAAGACAAGCCAGCGCCGCCGGCGACGCACAGAGACACCGCCTTTGTGTTCACGCGCTGCCCGTGGGGCCTTCAGTCAATGAATGGTTCAGACGTTAAAATATCGGATGGCTGTGTTCGCGATGCACGCTCAGGGAATAGTACGCGTTTTACGCGGGGGATATTGTATGAATGATAGAAGGGTAATTCGTAGCATTTCTGCACACATACAGTCCATGAAGATATGCAAAGTGACCAGTTATATTGAACGCCCAGCTCAAAAAGAGCATAACTGGTAATACTGCACCGCGCAGCGGTGCAGTATTACCAGTTGTTTCAGTTTTGCGCCCAGCATGCAATGTACAGTAAAAGTTACAGTAACAAAACATGGTTTGTCAAGAGGCAAGCTTGATCAAAATTTTTTAATGCTCTGTGGGAAGGACTTGTGTAGAATTGGGAGCTGTCATGTTGTGCTCGTTGCCTTGAAATCACCAGCGGATCTACAAATGACACTGCTCTGTTGGTGTCAATGTCATAAAATGACAAAACGCCATTTTTCCGAACCGGCACTTTTCGGAGCGCCTTGGCAGTATATGAGCTCAAAGAATGCAGACAAAGGGCTGTTGGACGATATCAATGTCGTAGTTCTAAGGCCTCGGTCAACTCTAGTGGTTTGCAAATCGCAGTGTAGTGGGATGAACCACGCAAAGGAAATTCGACGTTGCTAAAACGTAATTTGATATAAAAGCACCCGCAAACTTTTAATCGGTGATGTCATTCTAGACCAAATAAGACGTCGCAAAGGTAGAAACGATTAAGAAAACATTGCTTCTAAACGTAAGAATAATAAACTTGATAAACAGTCCGAACTTAACCGCTGTCAAGCCAAAAACTACGGGCGCCGTCAGCCAGCCCGTCGACCTTACCCAGAGCCCGATAGGTCACATGATGGGCTGACGCCGCAGTACGGGTCCCGCACCAGGCGCCCGTGTCGACCCGGGGAAGCCGGCAGGACCAGGTCAGGCCGGCCCGGCCCGACCGGGACCGACGCGACCCGGCCGGGCCGGGCCGGCCGACCCGACCCGGGACGACTCGCTCTCAAACGCCCGCGGCCAGCGGCCGTTTGATCTCCGGAACATCGAGAGCGGCCGACCGGGCCGGCCTGGGCCAGCCGAGCGTGGCTCATCTCGTGCGCTCGGCCTTACCTTGGTCTCCGTCTTGGGACGGCTGGGTGGCCCGGTGAGATGGGCCCTAATCGCGCTTCACGGCACGCTGCACAATCAAAGTTCAACTTAAATCTGGAGCCGGCTCCGTTTGCTGCCCACGAATAACGACACTGGATTACACAGCTCTCGCTCGGCACTCACCCATGTAAATGACACTAAATGTGGTGGAAACGGCTCCAACTGAAGCGCGGCCGGTGGGCGGAGCCGGGGGCGGAGCTTGGTCGCACGGTGGGAGGTGCGGATCCGGCCGCACCGCTCGGCCCGCGGCGTCCGCGGGAGCGCTGCTGGCTGGCCGGGCAGGCTCACGAGAATCAGTTTGTTTGGGTTCGGAACTGGTTAATTTCATGCTTGGTCGTCGCAAGCCACGTGCAGGAGCACGTTTTAGCCGTGTGCGACGGAGAGTGCGACCTTGTTCTCACGCTCCGCATAAGGCATGAACTCGTCATGCATGCACGCGCTGTGCATGCATTATGCATGCTTATAAGGCTCGCACATCGTTCATTATTGTTCGGCGTGACATGACCCCGATAACGACAGATACATTTTATCGTCTTACTGATTGGCACTGACCGCTGGTAAATGGTCGCTGATTACAACTGTAATTTGCAAACAAGTGAGAAGCTGAGAATGCTGGAACCGCCTGCTGCTCAGTAAAACGCACCATACTAATTTGCTCCTGTGTACCTATGTACGGATGACGTGCTCTGATACAGATTACATCACCGTCTGCTCCAGAGACGTTTTACGACATTTGCGTTGCCGAGCAGGCCGCGGAAGCACACCGATCCTTACCGATGTATATCAGTTCTGCTCTTCTTCGTGTCACCGTGCACCCACGATTTGTTCATGTTGAGGACAAATGTTTTGACTGGCTAAAATTCAAATAACACCTTTCGATTTTTTCTTTTTTTTAATAGTTCAACTTTTCTCGACTTTTGAAATTCTTTTGAAGAATTCAACGATGCATAAATGTATTTAGATCAGCGGCGCGGCGAGGAGGCCACTGGAAGTGCAAGAGCATTCACAAGCGGATTGCCTTGGTTGCATTTAACAGGACGCCGTACGGTTATTGTCGAATGTTGCCAAAGATGACGGCCAAGGATTGATGGATGCACAACAAGGTATGAGAGGTGCTGCTGCGTCTGCAGATAAAGCTTCTCAATATTCCTGGGATATTTTCTAAGCATGCATTTGCTGAATGCATCAGCCGGGTCCGTAGTTTATGCATTTTAGGGCTTATTGGATCCTGCAGGCAAGCACACATTTTAGAACCAGTGAACATTTTTAGAAACTTTTACCGGGTCAACATGAGTGAGAAGACCAAAACATACTCATGCGTCCTTGACGCAGCAATCTCTCTAATTTCTGCCGATTGCCATGCGCCACAATTGATTATTTTTAAAGAAAACTTTTAAAGACTTAGAAAAACCGCTAGGAGCACGACCTGGCTCACCGATATCCTCGAGCGCCAATCGTAAGTCTGTTTTACCTCGTGTTAACCTTCGCAAACGGCGGTCACGCCCAATGGGCTCCTCGGCACCGTCTGCCCCCGCGACAGGCCAGTTACGGCAGAAAACTCTGAAGTGTCGACATGTCGCCACTGTGCGCAGCGCCAGCCTCGTCGCCGCCACCCGTCATCGATCCCGCTCGCCCCTCATCAACTCCTACCCCCTTAACTTGGCGCCTTTCACGGCACGTGCAGCTCGGCCGGCGAGGGGGCGCGCCTCCGGGGCGGCGGCGCGTGCCCGGCTGACTCATTTGACGGGAGCGCGCGCACCAGCCGCCGCCGCCGCCGCCACGCGGGAGAGGCTGGCTGCCGCCCCGCTGGGGGCCGTCACCGAGCTGCCACCGCTGGAGCCGCCAGTGCTGGGGTTCCGGTGCTGCCCTGCCACGGATGACGGGGTTGCCTGAGCCGCCACTGCTGGAGTTCCGATGCTGCCCTGCCGCAGATACCGGGGTTGCCTGCGTCGCCGCCGGTGGAGCTCCGATGCTGCCCTGCTTCAGATGCCGGGGTTGCCTGAGCCACCACCGGTGGCTCGGCGCAATTTTCGCAGCAGGCGCTGTTGGCCTGGCACGTCCTCGGTCACAATAGTCCGCAGAATGTATGCTCGCGTGCCGAGACAGTTTCGCGGCCACACGCCGCCCGGCGCACGGGATCGGAGACTGAGAGGGATGCGTGCAGTCGGATGGACAACAAGCACCAGAATTTGGTGCGGTGCGAGGCATTGCGAGTGCCTTTGTAAGTAATTGTCGAACAGGATGAGTAGGCACAGGGAATTCGGCTTCAATAAATTGAAGCTAGTCGTTTCTTTCCCTGCCTCTCGTATCACTTATTCTGCTTCCCAAATTTTTCAGATAGATAACACATTCGATTAGTTTGCTGACTGCAGCACTTTACGACATCGTGGGCAAAGTGTGGTTTACAAGGCTCCCTGTTTTACGCACAGTACGCACATAGCAATGGCCTATTAACGCCCGCTCCCAATGTTGGTAAAATTGCATACTCGTTGAACAATTCATGACACACGAAATCTTTGTCACGGAATAAGATAACGCCACCTACCTTGTACAGACGGAGGAAGACAGCGTCGTTGGGAGCAACACATGCAAGCGATGCAAAATCTCTGACAATTCAAAGCATTTTCCTGTTTACGGGCGATGAAACACAACAGACAAAAGGCCTATGAGCGCCATGGCGGACTATCGTCAAGCTGGCGGCATAGATCGGCTTGAGGTCTGGTCCCACAGCGGCCACCGGCCTGCCATACCACCATGTCTCCCTCGCCGATCTACGATTCAAGAAGCGCGAGACCACAGAAGGCACGGGTCGCATGCAATGCAAACCTCAAATACGACCAACTGCCACTGCGGCAAAGGCTTTTACCGTGTCGTAAAATCTTCCGCTGAGCTGAGGAAATCCCGAGATGCCATAAGGGGTTCAGGGTGGAGTCCGCAGCAAATGAGACACAGATGAATGGGAATGTCCGTAAGCCCGACCATGTTTGCGCGGCGTACAGCCAACACTGCTGCCGCCTGGCGCGCCCGGACTTAGAGAAGCAGTCGAACTGATGTGCAGAGGCTGCGGCTGACGGCAGGAAATTCAGGTCGAACATCGGCTGGCAACGGGACTCTCAGACGGACATCAACTGACAATGCTACCCCAGACTGGACTTCCCCACGGTTGGAGAGCTCCCGGGCAGCACGCGAGCTGGTGGTGTGACTCCCAGCCCTGACCATAACTGGCGGTGTACTCTCTGACCCGGAATCAGCGAGTGGCGTGAGGCTGAAACTGAGTATCAGCTGGTAATAGGACCCTCAGACTTGGCATCAGCTGGTAATGGGACCCTCAGACTGGGCATTAGCTGGTAATGGGACCCTCAGACTGGGCATCAGCTGGTAATGGGGCTCTCATACTGGGCATCAGCTGGTAACGGGGCTCTCATACTGGGCACCAGCTGGTAATGGGACGCTCAGACTGGGCATCAGCTGGTAATGGGGCTCTCATACTGGACATCAGGTGATGCGACTCTCGACTTATTGGGACTCTCGTACCTGCTTGCCAGCTGGCGGACTGGGGATCCCAGACTAGTCGGACTCACAGACAAGCCATCAATCAGCCGACAGTGGACTCTCAGACTAGCCATCAGTTGCCGGTGGGACTCCCCGACTGGCCATCAGCTGGCGGCGGGACGCCGAGACTGACCATTAACTGACCATGGGACGCTCAGACTGACCATCAACTGGCGGTGGGACGCTCAGATTAGCCCTCAGCACTGGTAGGGGTACTCTCAAACCAGCCATCAGCTCGTGGCGGCACTCTCAGACCAACCACCAGCTGATGGCGGAAGTCTCAGACCGGCCATCAGCTGGTGGCGGGACTCTCAGACCAGCCATCAGCTGGTGGCGGCACTCTCAGACCAGCCACCAGCTGATGGCGGAAGTCTCAGACCCGCCATCAAATGGTGGCGACATCCGCCGAGATTCGGGCCCTGGCGGCCATCACAGCGGCGCCGCCGCCGCCGCTTGTCCGGCGGTAATGAGTCGTGCTGGGCTGGCGGCGGCGGCGGCGGCCAAGCGGCCGGTCGGCGCCGCGCGCCGCCGCGGCGCAGCCGTATCGATCGCAGCCGCGCGGGGGCGGGGGCCTGAGCATTACTTCCACCTGAGTGGCTGGCCGCGTCCTGGCGGTTACAATCAGGCGGACTCCGTCCAGCCGCCGGCGCAGATAAAAATAAGGGATGCTGGTCTCCTGCGGCGGCGGATGAATGCCTGAACAGCCGCAGGGCTCTGTGTGGCGGCTCGGCCAGCCTGAGGAGAGGTGCGCAGGTTCAGCTGGAGGCGGGCCGCCAGCGTACCACGGGCCCGCCCTGCTCGGTCGCGGGGCCGGACGCGTGAGAGCACAGACCCTGCGGACGCACCACACACGCTGGTCAGAACGGGATTGGTGTGTGCAGGGAGTTCATTCAGATACGAGACGAGTCAAGCGTCTGGGACGATGAAGACGCGATGGATTTCTCCTACAAAATGGGGTACGGTCAGTAAATGTTTTTAATTTTTGCTGGAACGAGGTCACAGGTTAAGTTAAAGATGACCTCCGAGTGGAGAATGCTGAGCCGTGGAGCTCGTACTCGATTGGCGACGATGAGTTTTCGAGCCTTCAGCTGGCATCACTGAGGCTTAACCTCTTGAGGGGTGCCGAAACAGGGGCCGGGGGGGGGGGAGTACCCCCGCTCTGGTAGGAGCTAGTACTGGTTTTTCTCACAAGTTGGATAAACGTTGGCCTTTCCCCGTAACATTGCACGAGAATACGGATGAAGGGCTCTTCTCCTGCCTGCACCAATTCCTAGCAATTTCTCGGCCAGTGACCCCAGCGCTCTCACAAGTACGTGTAATTGCCCCCATTGCGCTGAATTATGCGTCTGTCTGGGCGTCATTTTGTTCTTCTTTAAGTTAACATTTTGGAAAGTACCCAAACCTGGTGATTACAGCATTCTGCCAGATTTTTCTTAAGCTGGACGCAAAATTTAGCTGATGCTAAATGAAGATTATCAACCAAATAATCGTCGCTTCTTTGAGTCTAGCCTAAATGGCACCGCCTTTGAGCTGGTCCTCACGACGGGGGCTGCATCAGAGGAACG